ACCTAACTCAAAACAACAGATGATGCAACTGTATTGATTGAAATGCTGACCCTTCTCTCAGCTAAGGCTCACTGAGCTGCTGTTCCCAGAGCGGGGCCATCGGCAGGTCATAGCAAACAGCTCCACTTCCACAGCCGTTGGAGAAGAGTCATCCAAACAACTTAATACCCTCCACCTCCAGAGGAACTTTATTCAAATATAATGTTTATCAGAAAGCTCTTTCCCCAAATTGACCTCTTTCTCTTGATTAATTCGGTCTGAGAAATGAAGCTGGTTTGTTTTTCATGCCCAGCCCAACCTTCTCTTTGTTATTCAATTTATAAAAGCGTCAAATATAATTAAAACTGGCAGAGGCCAAGATTAAATCAAACAAACTGTAAACATTGCTTGTTCTATTTGGTTGATGCAAGGCTTTCACTATAAAAGGCTTTTAAATAAATGAATTCAGCTATTACTGTGCTGCAGCACTAAAACCTTGCTCCAAGTGTTTGAACTTTTTGGGTACACTGTCAGGTCAGCTTAGATTCAAAACCTAAAACATGGCTGGGATTTTGAAATTGCCTAAGGGAATTAGGGACTTCTACTGAAAGTCAATGTATGGTGGGAAGTGAATTGACTTTCAGCAGGAATTAGATGCCTTTGAAAAGCCTATTCATGTCCTTGTAAACAGAGGACCACATCCTTCATGGAGATAAATTAATGTAAGTCCTTTGACACCTACATACCCAGCAAAGCATCTGATACACAAGTGTTACAAAACCTAAGACTAGCCAAAAAAACCCTAAGAGCTACCTTTACTTATTTGATCATATTTTGGTTAGCACTAAGTATTTCCTTTCAATGTGCAATAATTATACTGTACAATAATGATATTTTAAGGGGTGGCATAACTGTAAGCCCAATTTCCAGGAAATTACTCCATTAAAGACTTTCGGTTTCAGTCTGCCAGGCTGCTACTTGCAGTTTAACCCACTGATTTTAGTGGTACTCCTGACCTGTTGAGTGCAGATTCAGAGCCTCAGTACATCCAAGGTTTTCCCCAAAACATTTTTGCATCAAAAAACCCACACTCGTATCTTATTAGCCATCATGCAAATTCATAGCAGGCAATGGGGAAACTTGGTACTTTTGAAAGCAAGTTTCTGTCTTGTTGACTGAGATTTTAGTGCTAAGCAATATGGCATTAAAATTTAGATTAGCTTTTAAAATAGATCCCTGGCTATTTGACACTGTTTCCTTTAATTCCTCATCACTACTTTAAAAAGTAATGCAAGAAATGCGATGTTGTCTGTATTCTTATTGTATCTTATTTTTCACACAGGATGGGCATTTGTCACTCTGCTTTTTTTGGCACGTGTATGTTTATACCTCTGCATGTTTTACGACTTTAATAACCTGATGCTACATTATGAACTGAGCTTTTTGGGATTTCTCTGTCCAATGCCTTTAGAAAAAACAACTGTAGTAGTACCATTGGACTACAGTCAGAGATTTCCCCTTCCGATCTTAAAAGTCTTCCTATTTATCCCCAGATATTGTCTAAGAATTCTACTGGTCTCCTAGGTAAAGCTACCTCATTCAATGTTCAGTGTGGCTTCTAGAGGGGGAACTCAATGACAAAGTCAGAGGTCTTTTGTGGACAGGATGACATCATGATACAAGATGGCACGGTCACAGAATGTACTGGTCCTTCATCTCTGAAACGGCAATTCACATCTGAACAGAGATGATTATACAAAATTAGTGCACTTATTCCCTCTTTATCTTCAGTGGACATGAAGTCAGACCACAAAACTGCTGCAGAGAGCCTTGCAACTGGCAGGCTCAGGTCATGAGGAAGCCAGTGCTTGAGAAAGTAGAAGGTCAGGACTGATCACCAAAGGCAGAGCTGGCGTACACCAAAGATCTCATAAAGCCTTGCCCAATCTGTTTGATCAAGACTACGTATTAGTCCCTTGCTTTCATAACCATAGATGTTTTCAGATCTATTGAAAATAGCTGATAAAGATTCCTCTGTGGTGATGGGTATCACAAAGAGGCTTGGTATCACAAAGAATGGAAAGGAGCAACGTAACTGTCTCATGTCTTGGGAGCAGTTGAAACCATCTGAAGACCATCTTAATGATCTGCTACCAGGATGTGTTGTATTCCAAAAGCTAAATAATCTGTTGAATTGACTATACAGATTGCAATGTTTTATCTATTTCCATCAGTGTATATATGTTTTTCTCTCCTTCTGTTTGCTTTCTCACCTTTTTGCTAAGAATATTGCCCTGTGTTTAGACTTCCAGAACCAAATTTTGAAAGCTAATTAGATATGGAAGGATTTGAGTGAAAATCCTATATGGAAGCCAGATCCTTCATTAACGATGAGACAGAAGTATATAATAAATGAACTAAAGAAACTCGCATGTTTTGGTTGTTTGTCTAAGACGATAACGTGCATTGCCTCAATCATCTGGAAAAGGGAGTAGCATTGAGTAACTTCTCCTGTGTTCAGTGCTCAGCAAAATCTGACATTTCCAGCTAAGTTACTAACCGTCATAAATGGAGAAGTAAGCTGCAGTTTTCAAGACTCTGGCTGTTCTGCCCAGAATGCTCTCCTGATTAAGCAACGAGTCAAGTCCTAAATGATTTCTGCTAGTTGGCAGCATCAGGAACGCTTCCGTAACAACGAGATCTTGGGGTTACAGGCAGTGACAGAGGCATTGCTGAATGAATTTGGAAAGAATTCAGAGCAGTACTTTTCTTTTTTTATATCCAAGTATTTTTATTCAGTGAGGTTGAGACAAAGAAGGTCTTGGGAGAAAAAAAAAAAGTGTAGCAATGTAATGGATCTTGGGTACTATAGTATCATCGAAAATAATTCAGTGGCAAATTTTGCTAATACATTCCCCCCTCCCCCCCCCGAAACAAGTCAGACTGCTTTTCTCACCAAAGTTGGGGTTTGGGAGCTGATTTGGATTTTACATGGATGCAAATATGAAGGGATACTATTAGGGATATTCCACTGCTGCACAGCTGAGTTGATATCAGAATTTGGACTAATGGCTCCAGCTTGAAGCTCTCCTTGTAACTAAGGATAGCAGGATTTGAGTATTAATCAGGACATTTTAGCTGTAATATGTCAAAAAGAGCTTGCAATACTTTTCGCTAGTTAAGTACAGTTGTTTAATCTAATATCTGGTTTTACTTTATTATATGAAAGGATTCCAAGAGGTATGTTTTTGTTTTCAAATTCAAATACTGCTTAAAATGAGTATTAAAATGTTATCCTACAGTATTAGGAACCTAAATAAAAGAACTTTCGGCCAGAATGAAGAAGAAGGATATGATATTAATTCCTATTACAAATTAAACTGAAGAGGCTATCTGCATTGTTCTGAATGAGAGAAATTAAGAACTGCATACTGGTGTTTTAAAACACCTAAAATTGTAGTATTCTGCAAGGTTTTCTAGCTGTGAGAAAACATTTAATCCTGATGCATGTACTGTTCTCTTCAGGGGGAATTGGATCAGGTCCTTTGTGACCGATTTTGCTTATTTACACTCTCATATACGGTTTAGCTTTAATGCATTGCATGGTTAAAGGAGAATCAGGAATTCAGCCCAGTCTTCCTTAAATTCTTGCTAGACTTTATGTTAATTTAATCCCTTATTTCTCCAGTTATCTAATACAAAGCATGATTTCACTGTCATTAAAGATCACCTTGCTTCCTGTTTTCATATTCTTCTCGTTATTATTCTTCTCATTGAAGTCTCCTTTCTAGTCATAATGAACACTCAGAGCATTTCATTGAGAAAAATGAGGAGTTAAACATTTTCTATTTCCCTAATCAAGACCCTGTCATTGTCATCACCAAAAGCCAGAAAAACAGGTAAAGAATGACAGGATTACATGAAAGGTAAAAAGGACACTGCCAAAGTGATTTTGGCTTATAATAATACACTGAATGTTGGCATGGCAATCTAATTGCATACTAAAGCCTGTTGTGTAAACTCAGTTACCAGTTGCATTACATAATGCTGATGCTCAATTCCATCAGTCACAATTGAGCATAATATGAATAGAAATTTGGAAAAGTCTCTGATTGTTATTGTGGAATAATTCATACAACTCGTCAGCATGGCAGTTTTCAATTTAATTTGATTTTTCAAACAGAAAGCCACAGTGATTCAATTCTAGAAGAAAAAGTAGCCTAGAAAAAAATCACATTTTGCAAATGGAGAGAAGAAAACAAAAGTAGGATAAATTTTTATTCTATCACTTTTGACAGTATCCTTTTAAAGGGAAGACTAAATTAAATTCTAAAGGCCAAATTCTCTTCTCATTCACATCACAATAGCTCCAGAGTAGGCCTACCAACTTTCATAGAATTACACCAGATTTACACAAATATTAATGGCAGCAGAAGTTGGCTTTTCAAGCCTAGCTGTTTCACAATAGGAATACATTTAAGAAGTGATATATAAAAGAAAATAGATTGGGTTTTTTAATTCCATTAAATTAGATCTGCAGTATCACAGAGAAAGGCTGATTCCTTTTTTGGTCTCAGATAAGCTACTTTTAGAAAACAGGTACGACGAGAGTAAGACAGAAAGCTCAGAACAATCTTTGAATTAAGAAAGTGTTCAGTAGACACACTTGGTTTCTTGCCATACCACAGATTTCTTATCCTGAAATCTGTATTTCACAGAAATGGAGGAGAACAGGACATGGAAAATTGATCTGAAGGCTAAACTAAATTTCTCCTGCAGTGACCTGTTTGAGGAACAGAAGGAAGGGGAAGAAGGAAGGCTGAGAGTGGCGCAATTCAAAGAGCAAAGACATTAAGTGACAGCCCCAAAAAAGTGTCAGAGGTCTTCCAACAGGAGGTATGCCGTCGACATCCATCCCACCCCATGGCGAAACCTCCCCCTAGCTATTTCCACTTGATTCACGTTGTTTCTATACTTGTTGAAATGGTTCACACTGTTTCACTGTTATTACTGTTATTATTTTACCTATCCACACTTGTCTCTGCCAGTCTGTTATTCATAATTGCTAGGGCTCCAACCCCACCAGAGAATCCATTTTGCTTTGAATTAGAGCTCATTTGCCTCGGATAGCCATTAGCAGTTTCCGACAGCTGTTTCTGCATGATGGCCAGTGAGACTTTATTGGAGGCCAGGAAGTCTTTCATGGAGATCATCTCGCCTGACAGCCGGCGTCCGTCTGTGTCACTCTCATTGACAACGTCAGTCTCGATGGAGATGTTTCTCCGGCTGCGCACATTTCCTGGCATTACCACGTTCCTCCGTGAATGAAATAATTTTCTTTGGCATCTGTGGCAGCACCTGCAGTCCAGCTTCTTTAATATCCAGTTTATGGATTGTTTGATGACAATAGAGATCACGTTAAATAAGGAATAGATGCAGCACACCCCCATGAGTATGAAGACAAAATTGCCAAAGCGGTAAAGGCCTTGGCTCTCATACTTGATGTTCTGGCTACTGACCAGATCACCGAAACCAATGGTGCTGAAGGCCACGAAGCAGAAGTAAAGTGAGTCAAAATAACTCCACCCTTCAATCGGTGTGTACATTGCAGAGGCACAGCAGGAAATGATGAGTGATGCTACACATAAAATCAGCATGACGTAGTACACGGAGGGCTTCCAGCCCGCCAGGCTGTCCACCTCGGAGGTCCCTGAGCCCCGCCGGCCGTTGTGAGGGAGGACCCCTTTCCTCCTCAGCTGTCTTTCATGGCAGGACTTCATGACATAGGCTATGACAGTGATCAAGCGCTCCAGGAACAGGTTGAAGAACAAAATGGTCCCTGCACATCCTATAAGGCCGTAAAATATCAGAAAGATTTTGCCTCCGACAGTGGCTGGGGTGGTCATGCCAAACCCTGGAAGACAAAACAGAACAGTTGAAAAAAATAAACCTGTAGTTACCACATCAGGAGTTTTGTCACAGAAAGAACTGGCAGCAAATCCCCATGGCACACATCAGCTCTGGAAAAAAGTGGAGACACTCCCCCAAACTGTTACCTACTTGTGCTTGACCTTGTCCCAGCAGTAAGGGGAAGAAAAGTCATGCCAGCATTTCCTCCAGAATCAGAATTCGAGTAGTATTCATGATAAATAACTTTGCTGCTGTTTTATTAGGATTAATAAGGGATTACATAACTGATCAATTAAGCCAAAACAATCTTGCTGAGAGGACAGAAAAATCATGTTGGATAAGAGACACTTTTATTTGTTTCCCTCTCTTTGTAATTGTGAGATGCTAATTATGAAATAAAGACATTAGGCTCTGGGAAATAAGGGAAATCATATTCAGTGTGATACGCTTGTGCTTGGAAGACAGACAACTACAGCGTGAAGAGACCATGTTTCCAACAGCGCTGGATTGCACTCATCCCCCCTTCACTGGAAACCTGCTACCAGCACAGATTCCTCTCTAACACTGCTCCTGCCTCGCACAGTTAAGTGACAGCCCTTGCCTTCACCCCTCCAGCATGACCCCCTCTGAACGACAGGCCCAAGTGTGGGCTCTCGAGGGTTGCTGCATCTTCGCCTGCATCCACAGCCAAACCACAGCATCCAGAGGACCTACAGGAGGCACAAGCCTCCTCATCAAATTTCTGTGCTAGAGAGAGCCAGATTGCAGCTCTGTGCCGTGGGGAACAGCACCATGAGACAAACCACACAGACAAAACGTTCTTCGTGACAAGAACTTTTTGCCATTGTTCCCCTTGGCACACAAATATTTCCACTTGCTTTCTACCTTCCCCTTCTGCTCCATGACCTGATCCCCCTATAATTCCAGTTTTGATGCTTATTTTCTGTGCAGTCTGGCTTATATGCAAGTCATGACCTCCACCCTGTGGACAGACACGTAAAGACTGATGGACGAGGGGAACCTCTCTGCAGCTGGTGGGATCTGTCCAAAGCAGCCGGCGGGGAGGGAGGTGAGGGGCTGCTGCATCCCTGGCCCGCCCTGCTCTTTGAGGAAGAGAAGTGGCTGCAGGCTGGGCAGAGGCGGAAAGGTGGGGAGCCTCTGGCACAGGGTGAAGGGCAGCGGGGAGCGGCATGCATCTCTTCAAAGCATAAAGCAAATGCCCTGGGAAGAGAAATGTAGTTCAGGCTCACACCTCCAGCATGGCATTACGCCTTTGGGCTGCTTCCCGCAGGCCCCTCTCGGGATCCTGCCACTGGCATCATGGCTAAAGCCTAAGCTCCTCAGGTTTGTGTGTTTAGTCAACTGGATTTTATCTCAGAGTTCAGATCTGCGTGGGTAAAAACTCACTAGCAAAGGCTTTACAAAGGCACCAAACAGGCATGACAGGAAATGCATGGTGAACTACAAACACCAAAAGATGCAGAGCATTGATCCAGAGAGGCAGTGAGGCTCTGACTGCAACTCTGCCCCTTGTCAGCTCCTCCTCTTCAGCAGGGGCACTGTTTTGACATCCTGGAGTAAATGTAATTTTTTTGTTCATTTTTCTATTTACAAATCTCAATATATAGCAATCAATACTAACATTTCCAAAGAAGCACTAAAATGGAAAACCTAAAAGCAGTATAAAGATATTAACAAATATTTTCCTTCAAAGATCATTTGTCAAAAATAAGCTATAAGCTTTTAGTTCCAGAAATAATTTCAATTCTTGAAATGCCTTGTATTTCCATGTATTGGGCCACACTATTCCTAGTTAACTTTGACCATCGCAGTATTATACTTGGGATTAATTTGGGATGCTGTACTATAGAGTAGGACTTGTTTGACAGTAAGTACATTTTTCTCCAAATGGACTCTTGGAGTGCTTGAAATATTTATAAATCCAAGTAAATCTGGTGATGTTTCAGCCAAGAAATGCAGGAGGGCAAAACTGTAAAAGGCTGAAACAGTTGAAATGAAAGGAAATGTTCTCTTTGGGCATTTTTGTGATAAAACTTTTAGTTTCAAAATATCAATCACCTTTTGGTTAAAAAAAATACAGTTAAAAGTAAAAAGAATGGAAAAAATACTTTGAAAAATCTTTCAGATTTTTAAAAGTTTCATAATTTAAAACGTATTCCTAGTTAACTTTGACCATCGCAGTATTATACTTGGGATTAATTTGGGATGCTGTACTATAGAGTAGGACTTGTTTGACAGTAAGTACATTTTTCTCCAAATGGACTCTTGGAGTGCTTGAAATATTTATAAATCCAAGTAAATCTGGTGATGTTTCAGCCAAGAAATGCAGGAGGGCAAAACTGTAAAAGGCTGAAACAGTTGAAATGAAAGGAAATGTTCTCTTTGGGCATTTTTGTGATAAAACTTTTAGTTTCAAAATATCAATCACCTTTTGGTTAAAAAAAATACAGTTAAAAGTAAAAAGAATGGAAAAAATACTTTGAAAAATCTTTCAGATTTTTAAAAGTTTCATAACCTTAAAACGTAACACAACATTTCACTAATGATCAAATCAAACCTATCAAAATTTCATTATATTTTATCCTTCTGAAAGACTTAAAAAAAAACCTGTTCCTATACAACTTCAGGTTAAGTTTTTTTCCTATTTTTTTCCTGCTGGCCATCAAACTAGAAATGCACTGCTCATTAATCTCTGCTAAAAAGTGAATTATTTCAAAAACGCTTTTCATACAGGAGCCCTGCAAACACTAGCTGGAAGTAAATTGTTATCCTTGGTGGGATCTGCCTCTTTTTTCCCCAAAATTTCTGTAAGGAAAAATACGGCTTGTTCATTGGCAAAAAGGTACGGCAATAGAATTTGCTCTTGTTTTAGTAAAATTACTGATGATCTTGTGCTGTGCAAACACAGAGGATCTATGGATAAGTCAATTCTTTCATGAGGTCAGTGAAAGCTCTCCCACCAAAGCTCTCCCCTTTAACCTAAGGACACTGAAAGAAGCCTGTTGTCTGCGTGCTAGGATCATACACATTGCTCGAGCATCAGAGGAGCCGTGAGCTGTTCTCTCTGAAAGCAAAGACAACGCTTAGCACAGCAATGCCTGTCCTGGGGGCAGGTATCTCCATAAGTCCTGGCGGTATGGACGTATCTCCATACGTTCCCTCTGCATCCTGGACCCGGTCAGGGCTTGTAGTGGCTCTTTTGTGTGAAGAGACCTGAGCGAAGGCTGTTGCAGAGCCGGGTGACATCTCCACGTGAACCTGGGACATGCACCTGGACCTGGTAGCTGCAAAGTGCACCTGTGTTCCCCCACCAAGACACAGCATTAGTGCCTCACCATATATTTTCCAGAAGATTGATGAGACACTAGCAAAAGCATTTATCCCCTCTCTTCTGCTTCAGATACTCTACAGGGCAAGGGACTAAAAAACGTGGATTCCCTACTTTGCTTGTAAAATGCCTTTTTTTCCTTCCATTATAGAAAGGGAGAATGGAATCTGGGGTGCCGCTACAGCATTTAAAAACTGAAATATTGCAGCATTTAATTCTTTTTGCAAAAATGTAATGTGAAAAAATGCCTGGCAGGTCTCTCCATAGCAGCTGAGGGTTTCCCTGACATGCCACATGAAATGCTGCCTACCTGACAAACTGAACCAGAGAGGAACAAGCCATGAGGTATCTGAATTACTATTGACATGCTTGATTGAGGCAGCATTTTTAATCCAAAATATTTAATTTTGCAGCTGAAATATGTCAGTTTGAAGTCTTGGCACAATGGTAGGACACCTATTGCTCTGCCTGGTGTCTTTCTCCAGTCCCTGCACCATCCCAGGAGAATCGCGCTTCCCCTGTTTCCTGTTGGGGTACCCCAGAACTGGGCCAGCAGCCTCCATTTCCATGCCCGTGACCTGTACAGGCAGAACTGCCCCTGAGCTGCCCTCTCTTCATAACAGAGAGTACAGCCTTACAAACAGCAGACTTTTCATTTCCAATCCCTTAAAATGTTAACCAAAGGCAGAGTCCTTATAACTTCAATGACTCCTGCAGACGCTAGAGAAAAGACTGTGCATATAGACTTGTGAGTTCATTTTTGCTGTCTTCTTGAGATAGCTAAGAGTGTCACATGCAAGTATTTCTCCACTGTAATTATAAGATCAGGTTTATTCACAAACTGGACCTACACATCTTTCACAGCTGCAAGTCATGTTTATCAGAAAATGTAGCTCTTGGTATTGTCATTGTCAAATCAACCATCCAAATACACACTACAGTTGTGTAACTAAGCCTTCCTAGTTGCTTGGCTTTTCTTACAGCAAAAATGATGGGTTTAGAAGCAATTGCCATATTTTTGCTTTCCACCTACTGCAGGAGGTGGTCACCCACATGCCAGCTGAGGGGTGTCAGCTGCCCTGGGATTAGAGACTTCGGGTGAGCAGGACCAAGCTGCAAGGACACAGAATCGCCATACCGGGTCAGACCGCCGTCTTTGACAGTGAAAAGATAAAAGAAAGTGTGAACAGGGAAGAAAATATGAACAGAGTGATCCTTCCCTGGGATATCCTCCCAGCTCGCAGAAGTCAGCAGTTTAGAGGCTTTGAGGACATCACGTTTAATAATTCCATCATCAATCTTGTAAAATACTTTTTCAAATCATTTATACTGTTGGTCTCCATTAAACCTGAGGCAGTAAGTTCCCCAATGTAATTATGCTTTGTGGAAAAGAAGTCTTTGTCTAACCTGCTGCCTGACAATTCATTTCAGGCTTCCCACTTTTTGCAGTTAGCTGTAGCGATCATCATTCTCCACGCACATTCTCCCTTCACCTTCCCCCTTCTGATTTTGTAGACTTCTATTATTTTCTTCTTTCTCATTTCTTCGCCAGTCTGAGGTGGTCTATAACATTTAGTCTCTAGTTTTCAGTCTGCTAAGACATACTTCTAACCAGCCCTATTACCTTTCTTGTTTCTTTTCTACCTTAATAGAGTCTTTCAAAGATAAAGGAGCAGGACCAGAACTCTATA